CCCCCCCCCCCCCCCCCCCTGATATAATAAAGGCAGTGAAATAAACCCAAGGTTAGTGTTTTACCATACCACTACCTTGACCTTGATCTAGACCTTGGAATCTTAAAACACTAAGTCATCTGATGTGTTTGCAAACTTTTGACATTTGTTTATAGTTTGAGGAAAATCCGTCACAGAATGAATTTGCTAGAGCGTTAATTTACATTGTATAACGAGGTGAGGGGATGAGACAAACTTGGGCAGCATTATATACCCTCCATTTTATGGCTAGGCCATACAAAATGTTTCAAAACAAACATTGTACATAAAATTTTCAGATTGAAAACAAACTTTGCTAATTTAATAAGTTAGAAAAAAGTTAAAAAACAACAATCTTGTACATGATTTTTTTTCTGACTGGAAATAAGTTTTGCTATTGAGTATGAAACATATGCTAAAAACGCTAAAAACTTGGATCATTAAATGGAATCAGGACTCACTCTCATGCTATTGGCCTCGTCGGTGTAGATTTTGTAGGTTTTGCACGAGAAGCAGTCAGAAGCTGTGGGATCAGAACAACCTTTCTGACATTCTGCATGGCATGGTTCACATCGCTTCGTCAATTTGTTGCCGTAGTTGAAGCTGTGACAGGACGCCACGCAATAGTCATCCTCTTTATAGTGGAGACAGCTCTTACATTGGGCGGGTCCATGACCGACACATCCGTCACATAAGGGATGACAGGGCTTACACAACTGAAAACAGATGACCATCTATCAGAGATTTGATGAACTTATATCATTTATCCAAGAATATTTTATTTGATGTACATGCATAAATTCTTAAATAAAAATGATGTGACCCAAATGACATACTTAACCCATTCACCCCTATGTAACTTTAGTCAACTCTACCATTCATTGATCTGGACGAGTCCATTATGGTACACAGTGGTGAAAGGGTTAAGTCAGAGTGTCACACCCAAGATGTTTGTTATGTTGACATGTCCACAGACTAATGGGGATAATTTCAACATGATTAAATTAACTTCCTTAAAAGTCCAGCAACCTAAAATTGTCTTTGCATGATAAGAAAGAGTAATGTGGCAAATTTAACAGAAAAATGATCAAATCAGAAAAGAGCTGGGACAATTGAACGTTCCTAAATTATTACTCAATGATGTGCAGCTTAACAAGAAAATGGTAATTATGTAAAAAGGAGTGAGATTAATCAAAAAGTTCATTTGATAGAGCATTATAATTAATCTGTTAATTTTACCTGTCCGCCTGCCATAGGGCCAGGGTCCTTTGCCGTTACCGTGGTTTTGTAGAAATCCTTACGACAATCTGATCCGTCATCTGCTATACAGAAGAGGCGTATCTCCCCTCCACCGTCTCGTATTTCTTCTGCAATGTTACACGACTTGCAACCTCCGATCTTCAGCTCACTCGAGGGTCCAGTACATCTGTACAATAATATTACTAAATATGAAATAGTAATGATATACATGTGCTTATGGTGGAATTATTTTTATTTGGAATAAGATTCATAAGTTTGGTTTATACATAATAAATGCCAAGTTTCTTTTGAACACAAACAGGAATTATTAACTTCTTTTGCAAGCTTTCGAAAATGTCTGTCTCTTTGTCAAGCAAAGAGTAATCTACACGACGTTTCTGAAAGTTCACAAAAAATATTTTCAATTCCAGTTTGTGTTCGAAACAAACTTTGCATTTATATTATTTTTAATTTGATTTTTTTGTTTTATTTAAGAACCCTTCTTAAAAATAATGGTGTACAACAATTTAAATTACTGTAGTAATATTTACTGGTATATAAGTTTGTGTTATAAGAAACATGAATAATTTAAGCTGACTTACCCGTTGCTGCAGTGTTCGTAGCATGGTCGACAGATCTTGTCCTCGTCAGCGTAGAATTTCTTTGGGCATGTCTCGTGACAAACCTGCATACTATTGTTGCTGTCAACGACGATGATGTGTTTACAGGAATCACATTGACTGGCTTTCTACAAAAAATAAACAACAAGAGGATCAGGACCATGATCTCTGACTCGAAGTAGGCAGGTAAGCTTATTACAGGACAATAATATAGCATCTGTTCATATTTTTACTGAACTGCAGTAGCTATGGGTGGGCTTATTACCAGGCATGGGCTTATTGTCAGATCAGCTCCAGACAATTATATGTGATTATAGTATTATTATTCTTATAGTGGTGGAAACTCAACCAGCCTTTAATTATTTTGAAAACATCACTAATTAATAAAAGTACTGCATCATCAAACATCAATTTCTGCTGCTTTCACAGCTTGAAGAATCCCTCCACCTATATAGAAGACGGGGTAATGATGAGCATCCTTCCACCTATATAGAAGACGGGGTAATGATGAGCATCCTTCCACCCATATAGAAGACGGGGTTATGATGAGCATCCTTCCACCTATATAGAAGGCAGGGTTATGATGAGCATCATTCCACCTATATAGAAGGCAGGGTTATGATGAGCATCCTTCCCCCTATATAGAAGACAGGGTAATGATGAGCATCCTTCCCCCTATATAGAAGACGGTGTTATGATGAGCATCCTTCCCCCTATATAGAAGACGGGGGTATGATGAGCATCCTTCCCCCTATATAGAAGACGGTGTTATGATGAGCATCCTTCCCCCTATATAGAAGACAGGGTTATGATGAGCATCCTTCCACCTATATAGAAGACGGGGTTATGATGAGCATCCTTCCACCTATATAGAAGGCAGGGTTATGATGAGCCTCCTTCCACCTATATAGAAGGCAGGGTTATGATGAGCATCCTTCCCCCTATATAGAAGGCGGGGTAATGATGAGCATCCTTCCACCTATATAGAAGACGGGGTTATGATGAGCATCCTTCCACCTATATAGAAGACGGGGTTATGATGAGCATCCTTCCACCTATATAGAAGACGGGGTTATGATGAGCATCCTTCCCCCTATATAGAAAACGGGGTAATGATAAAAGAAAGTATTTTTGGCTTCAGGTTAAGTTTCTTGTCAAAGTAACATTAGCTAAGTATATATATATAAGCAGTTCCCCTGGGTTTTTCTTTTAATATTCAAATTGCAAACAACAATAATTTTGTAAAAGGCAAGATGACTTATACAGTATGAAATATTTCTGTCGAAAATTTCTCCAACAAAATTTTTAAAATTGCAATGACACTTTTAACTTCATGGTACGTTTTTCCTTTATTAGCATTGAAAGTTCCCATATTTCTAAAATATGACGTGTTTTTTTTTCATTTTTGAAGACTATACAATCCTTTGTGATTAAATAAAATTACAGGACGTGTGGACATGTCCTTTAATGTCCCTGCAGTCATTTTTGTATGTAGTGCCATGAGTAACGAGGTAGAGCTGAATACAAACTTACAGGACCAGTACAGTTGTTGGCACATTCTTTGTGGCAGGGTTTACACCCGCTAGGAGTATCCTGGTACAGTAGAGGGCTGGCATCACAGGTTTTAAGACACAGGTTGGAGCTGTCGTTCACCTTCATATGTCTACAGGATAGACACTTATTGGGACCCATGCCCCAGCAGCCGTCTATCGAACATTCCGGGTCACATACATGACCCTCAATCTCTGTAAAACGGATCATTAAAACATTTTGACATTGTTTAAAAACACAATTTGTTTGTGAATACTGGTAACTGTAAAGGGAGATAATTTATACATTTTGACATTTTAACAACATTATTTGTTTGTGAATACTGGTAACTGTAAAGGGAGATAATTTGTACATTTTGACATTGTTTAACAACATAATTTCTTTGTGAATACTGGTAACTGTACAGGGAGATAATTTGTACATTTTGACATTGTTTAACAACATAATTTGTTTGTGAATACTGGTAACTGTAAAGGGAGATAATTTATACATTTAGGAACCTCAATGAAAAGAGACTGTTCACACATTTTAACAAGTCCTTAAGTGACATATGGGACTGTAAAGGGAGATCATTTAAGTGATTAAGAACCTCCATGTATTACACCATTCACGCTTTTAGCAAGTAAGGGACCGTAAAGGAAGATAATTTATACATTTAAGAACCTCAATGAAAATAGACCATTTACAAATTAAAACAGTTTCTTAAGTGACATACTACACTGTCCATGTAGAGTAATATAGTGTTTAGGGAGACAATGCATGTGTTACCCCGGTATGTAAACTATCAGTGGTATTGAAGATAATCAGTTAATCTCACTACATGACAGACAGACAGACATTTTGTAGAAATTATATGTTACACATGAAAATAGGGTCATTTGAGATAATTGACAAAAAACATATATTTGATAGGACTTTTTGATCAGATCAAATGCATCCATTAAAATTAAATTATGATAGGATGCAATCCTGACATCACATTAATCTGTAGTATGAATACCTACCACACTGGCTGATGTCACGATTATTTCCGATAAAGGCAGTCTGAGAGGAGGCCACAAACAACTTGGTGAAGTTCACTGTGTTGGCATAGCACAAACGCTTATTGAACCAGATCAGTACCTTGCCAAAAGATATCAATCTAAGGGAGTTAAGTTCTAGTGACTCGAGAGGTGTGGCCATGATGTTGAGGGCATTACTCCTCCTGCAATGAAAAAACGGTAACTGTAAGTCACATGTTAAATGAATAACATCTTGTTTTTTTTATGTATATGTGCCTGCCCGGTTCCCTACCAAAAAAATGCACACATATATATACAATGTACAACTATGTCACAGTCGTGAACTTATGTTCATCTAATGCCCTTGTGATAAAGAAACACGATTATTTGTTTCCCCGGAGATTAATCATGTTTCATAAGGTCAAAGCAATTGTGTTTCCTTACCACAAGGGCAATACATATTGAACTAACATTAACAATAATATAAAGATGATCAGGTCGACTGGCCATTATTGTTGTCTGCTCCAGCCACTTGGAACTCAGGTGTGGTGCCTTTATCCCAATAAGGGAAATATGACTAGGGAAATTCAGTTACACAAGGAGAACATGAAGTTTTATTTCCCAGTAATGAGATCAATATTATCCGACCAGACACACTATTTTAAAGGTGAGATATAATAAAGTAACATAGTACATCAAGTAACTCAGTAACTAAGTAAGAGAGTCATCACCGTTCTTTTACTTATTCACCCCTGAAATTTCATTAAGCATTGAACTGTTACCAGATGATAACGGGCGACATGAATATTTAACTGTCACCCAAATTGCATTCATATCGACTGTATACTGCATCTGGTAACAGTTCAATGCTTATATTTACATTTATATGTATATAGTTTGTTTTGTATAGTAACTGAAGCAAAAATACGTTTGAATTTCCCGCTTATCATATCAGTGACGTCAGTAAGTTCAAATCCCAGAACAGCCGACATTTCCAGAAGAAATAATATAGTCTGTCGTGTCATTGAAAACCACACGCACATAAAATGGTTTGAACACAAACTTAACTTTATTATTTATTTCCTATGAGTATGTATATGTTGAAAAATTGTCAATAATTGCATAACTTTTGCTTGTTTAAAATTAAAGCTGTTTTTCGCGCATTGATAGATAACATGTATTTTGAAGTGATGCGGCGCTGAACGGACTTGATTGTTTACTCGGAAACGCTTATGTTTCCTTTGACTGGAATATTACGTTATTTTCAGAAGCATATACACTTGAAAATGTTTAATTAAAATGGTCTTTTCAGTAGGTGATAACGATTCCAAGGACATTTCGTTTGAAACATATTCCATGTCTAATCGGTCAGATTATCATCGCTAGCGGACCACGTTCACAGGGGCTCAGTTTCGTGGCCTTGTGTAATGGATGACATCACTGAATATACACATTCTAAAATCTTGTCGATACCCTCGACTTTTACAAGGTTTTAGAAATGCTGAATTTTAGTGTTGTGGTTATTCACTGATGTTATGCATAACTTAAAATATCGAAACCGATCCCCTGTGTGATGACGTTGATAAACTTGTATCTAGAATGGCGCTTACAATAATTTTGTGGTACCTACACGTCTTATAATAAATTTATATTGTCATAATTTGTCAAGTTGCTTTATTTTTTTTTGCGATGACCTATATTGCTAAATGCTTATGAACCCAGGATGTTTTCCGACTATAGGCCTATTGATACTGAAAGTATCGGGCGGCCATGTTTGTTTACCTTGTACCAGCTGTATTCCTACACTGGCCGTATCACTGTAAATTGTAGTATACAGTCTCATATACTGCAATTTTGTTTACTAACGACATAAAGGCAAATGCAATACAGAATGTAAATATCAATGTATTAACCTTGAATTTGAGGCGTTAAAATGTGTCTTCAGGGGTGAATAAGTTGAAAATGAAAAATCAAAATAAATGAAAAATCAAAATAAAATGTTTTTTAAAACAAAAATGAAAAATAATCAAAGCAAAAATCTTTTGTACGTACCCATCCAGTTCTCGGCCTCTTATGACCTCCAGGTTTGATAGGAACGACAAGTTCTTGAAGCCGGAATGGTTTGACTGGATTATGACAAACCCAGTGATCTCCCTTACCGTGTTGAATACATACAGATCTTCAGGATCCAATCCAGAAATATTTCTGTATTCATCTCTGTCAGGGTTAACAAAAGAATTATTTAAGAAATCCTATATCGCCTCTATTACTCGCATGTTTAACAAGGTAGAGATTTTAACTCAAATCATGCAACGTACAGAATAAAATGTGAATTGAGATTTCTTATATGACAAAAAGTTATATCATAATAATCAAAACATAACCCTTCAAGCTGCGGGATAAAAAATATTATTTTAAAATTTCAAGTTATAAGATATCTGTCCTCTGAAAAGAGGATCTGGCTCATTCTTTTAAAGCAAAAACCACTATTAGCCCTTTATCCTCGACTTCTACTAGCCAATATCATTATCCAATGATCATAGTTATTAAGAAAACATTTTAAATACTTTAAACATTTAAAGACATACATTTATGAACCCTGTGACTATGTGCAGGAAATTGATTTAACAATTTTCAAATCCGTTCATACTAGCATGCGACAGACTAAATATCATGACCCAATGTGACTTGCTTGTTGAAAAGAATTTGATTTTACAGTTTGGTTTTGAAACATCTGGCACCTGTACCTGGAAATTTGGCCAAGAATATTATTTTTATGCTTATACTTTTTGTATAGAGTCTAGATAACTGTTAATCACATCTCGTTCTAAGGGAGGCAATCCTGTCATACCATACATACCCATTAAAAGTGGTCTCCACAATTTTAAGATTGCCCTCTATCAGAGTACAATTACTGAGGCGTTTAATGTTCACAGACGTCAAGAATTCCGTCTTGTTTAATCCCTTACATTCTAAAATAAACAAAAAAGAAAAGAAATACAATCATTGGTACTAAGAATTTTTAGGATGAATACAGACAAAGGATATACAAAGGAGATTTACAATGATTTGCTGTTACGACCAAAAGAGACATGCAATACAAAACTGTGTTTTACAGTTTTAATAAGTCATGAGTCATTACCAGGGTACTTCATTTTTCAATCATTGAAATTCATTGAAATGGGGGGGGGGGGGGGGGGGGGGGAGTGTTGTCTACATATATTTTGCAATTTCTTTTATGTAAACTCCAAGTCTGTACTTGGCTTGTTAAATGACCTAGAAAAGGAAAATTAATCTAGAACTGCAAGACTTAATCCATCAAGCTAGGAAATAATTATCAACAAAAGGAGAAAGTCATCTCTACTTAGCTGTGAAATGATTATCTACTTAGCTGTGAAATGATTATCCCAACACAACTGGGTTAGAACTGTCTCCCATTTCCTTTTTAATAATTATGTCAAAGAAACTTGGTAGAGTTATCTCCTCCTGAAGGAGGCTAAGTGTTAACTCCATAAGGACAGGAATGCAGTTCCTTACGTTTTGCACACGGCCCATCACACGGGATGCATTCTCCGTCTACAGCATGTTTGTTTACCCCACAAACCTTCACACAAGCAGAGATGTACTTGTCCCGTAGAAAATGGTCTGCGGAAAAACCATGAAAATTATCAAGTTATTTGTAGATAATATTTTTTTATGTCATATTGTATAAACGACACAAATCAAATTGCAGTAAATCAAAGAAAACAAACAATTTAAGTAGTTATACAATAATTCATCAACATTTAAAAAAACAAAATCTTTAATTTTAAAAATTATTCATTCAATGATTCATGTTTCAATTTTATTGCAATGCCAATATTCAATATTTTTTATTTGGTCATTTTTTGTTCCGTAGGTTGATAGTTACCGGGGCACTTTTTAACACAGAGGGATCCGTATTTAAATTTGCCCTTGGGGTTGATCTCTGCCTTCAGGGTGAAGATGTTGTAGAACATGACGAGGGGACAATTCTCCACACACTCTCCTTCGTTCATGAAGTGTTTACAAGCCTTAAGGAAATAAAGTTGAGTGTTTATGATATTTTAAAGCGCTGTTGGGAAAATGACTGAATTATAGTGTATAACTAAATGATATTTGTAGAGCACTCGAAGTGTTAAAAACACTTCAGGATCCTGTCCTGACAGGCTGTAAGCTATTTACCAGCACCATGCAGTTTCATTGTGTGGTAAAGAAAGGGGATTTCTATGATCAGATATCAGATATCTCAGGGCTAATAAGAGTAATATGTTGATACAACTTCATTGTTTCATAATTGTTGTAAATTAAAAACAAAACATTTACGTTTTGTAGCAGAACTAGAATTTGGATCATCTGCAACCAGTCAAATCATGTTATGGAAATTGCTGTAAGAATTTTCTTTAACCAGTGGTTTTAACAGAAAGGTTTTATTCCTAAAGACTGGAAAAAATAACCACAATAACACATAGTTTTCAAATGGTGGAAAAATTGCAAAAAATGAAAAGTACATGCAACTCTGCTTCCATTTTTTGTATCAACTTTGGTCTGAGAGTTACCTCCCTTAGGCCATAATAGAGATCAAGATTTTAGCTCGCGTACATGTCACTTCACGGTAAAGTTAACAGATTAACGCCAACATAGAAATTATTGTCCTGATTATTGAGAAAAATGTTTCTTTTTATCTATTTGGTTTATAATTATTAATTTCAGTATCTAAGTTGATCGAGTGAAGAAAGCACTGTTCTAATTTGACACTACACAAAGAAATGTCTTTACATATTAATTCATTCACCCACACATTTTTAAACTGGACTTGCCCAGTCTTTCATTTGGTAAGGTTCCAAGGTGACTTTAGGGGTTAATGGGTTAAGATATAGCATTTTGTACATATTCACAATATTTGTTTTCATCAAATGGACATTTTCTGATATTTAACTTGTGAAAATGTAAAAAATCATCTTTACCATACAGTCCGTTTTCCTAGGCCCCGAACATCCCGCGGAACATTCCGGGTGACAACACTGGTTTTGTTGGTAGCCAAAGCACCGACCATCACAGCTAGGTGAACACACTGTCGCATGGTTCACTGGATAAAAAATAAACAACATGAAATGTGATTTTTTTTCAGTTAAATTCATTTTTACATTTAATATTCAGTGCAACACTTCTCCCTACTGATTTGATTTTAATTTTGCCAAGTTTAATTTTGAACCATTATAGCTACAATGACATTTGCATAAACAAGATCTTTTTATTTCATATCAGAATAGTAAACATGTGAAATGTCATGTTCTTCTTCAACCACCTTGGGCAGAATGACTTAAACTCTTTACAATTAGAACAACAAAATTTCAGTAAAAACTACAGACAGATAAAATTTAAAACAGATCAACAACACATGTAATGAATATGTTATTTCATCATTTGTATTTTGAATTTGTGAAAGTGTTTCAGAAATGAATACCTTATTGGTTCTAATAATAGACTGTGTTCTAATAATAGCCTGTGTTCTAATAATAGACTGTGTTTTAATAATCGTCATTCCCTCCATATTAGGGGCAAAATACTCTATAAAAATGATTATTTTCCAACTATTTTAAAGTTTTGGAGATATTTGACATTGTTTTAATAAAGGTGTAAAAAAGTACAGATCAAACAAGCTATATAGACATGTAGAAATATGCAGATTGTTATTTTTTTTTTTTTTTTTCAAATACAATGCCTTTCAGTGTAAAAGTATGGGTACAATTCCTTGTGCGACCATCCCAAACTCTGACAGGGCCACGCACACAATATTGATAGTATAGACTTTGCTAAAAGTGCATGAAGCTTGCATCCAGAGCACCAGACCCAAACACAGTCTGTCTGAAAACCTATCCGTTGTTTCTTGTACAGTACACATAGGCTTTGAAGATCTTAATTTTTTTGAATTTCAGATTTTTTCTCCAATAATCGCCCACCCCCTACCTTTATGGTGTGAGGTTGTGACATCCGGTTCCAATAACTGCCCCCCCCACACCACACTTTCTTCTTAGCATGTGTTCTAATAATAGCCCTGAGCTATTATTAGAATATTATTAGAATCAATAAAGTTTTTGAATCTGCTACAAGTTGTTCCATTATCATAACAATAAAATTTAAACCTGAAATAAAATGGATTGTTTTTTAAACACAATCCTGACAGTGTAGGAATTAGCGATTGGTTCTATTTACAAACACAGTTGTCATACCATCTTTAAATAACTTACGTTGTTGGCACATGTCTCTACCCTCCCCCCAACAGTGGCGTTCTCCAGTTCGATTATTGTAGCAGGACGGATGGCATTCCGGACCTGAAATATTACAAAAGGTCAAGGTCATTGATTAAGCTTTGATGGTTAAAGGTCACATCAATAATGACTCCAATTATACACAACATTTTTCATCCTCACACAAATAAAATCAAAAATGAATACATGCAGGATTAGGACAATGAAGATCAAATCTGAAATGATGAGTATTTTCTGTGGACTACATATAATGGACAAAGGTCAAGGTCACTGGTCATCACTTCAAGCTGGGACTTGTAGATTGTTATGCCATTAAATGTTAGGAAAATAAAACCGCTTTTTATATTTAATTACAGCTACCATTTGTTCAGTGACATTTCTGTCATTACAAAGAGGTATTTAATAGTGATGGACATAAAAAACAAACCTTTGAAGTAAAACAGAAAAAGTGACCTTGAACCTATTTAAGTGACAACTATCAGGCAGGAATGAAACAAACTTGACTGTACAGAAAATGTCTACTTTCTGAGGAGACCAACACAGTGATATAATAATAGAAGAACCTTCAGGATAACACGATTTCTGTGTTAATCAACTCACAGACATCAAATAAAGAATCAACTCACAGACATCAAATAAAGAATCAACTCACAGACATCAAATAAAGAATCAACTCACAGACATCAAATAAAGAATCAACTCACAGACATCAAATAAAGAATCAACTCACAGACATCAAATAAAGAATCAACTCACAGACATCAAATAAAGAATCAACTCACAGACATCAAATAAAGAATCAACTCACAGACATCAAATAAAGAATCAACTCACAGACATCAAATAAAGAATCAACTCACAGACATCAAATAAAGAATCAACTCACAGACATCAAATAAAGAATCAACTCACAGACATCAAATAAAGAATCAACTCACAGACATCAAATAAAGAATCAACTCACAGACATCAAATAAAGAATCAACTCACAGACATCAAATAAAGAATCAACTCACAGACATCAAATAAAGAATCAACTCACAGACATCAAATAAAGAATCAACTCACAGACATCAAATAAAGAATCAACTCACAGACATCAAATAAAGAATCAACTCACAGACATCAAATAAAGAATCAACTCACAGACATCAAATAAAGAATCAACTCACAGACATCAAATAAAGAATCAACTCACAGACAACAAATAGAGAATCAATACACAGACAACAAATAGAGAACCCCTCCCCCTCGGCCTCCGATATGGACATTCAAACTGTTTTATATGCTTCACTCATTCTAAGAACTGATTAAAATCAAACAATAACAAAATATTTGAAATATTATAAAATACATTTATGAAATAGAGTACATTGTTGTTAGATATTTATATATCAATTAAAATCTCATAACCTCAAATAAATTCCAGTATGTGGTCCGAAATCATTTGTACAACGATAACGATGATCACTCAACGATGCCATAAATGAAAATCGATGAATAAAAAATACATATGAACAGAAAAATATTGACATATTGCAATCAATATCTGTATTATCACAGGACCTTTATCTATTGAATACAAAATTCCAATTTTGTGAGAATTCCATTAACTGGCAATCTGATGGAACTATCAAATAACATATAAGTACACATTCTAATAAAATTGAAATTGATTACAATCTAGCCTACTAATATATATCCATATAGGTATTACGAGATGGTACGATATGAAGTACCATACTTAAAGCTTGCAGCCATCACTATATATTAACCCCCTCTTCATGTCTGTGAATAAAATATTAGTTAACATCCTCATCTAATCTATAGCCAGAAAAAAAATCAAAAAAATCTGACAATGGAGAACTCGCCTGTGATGAAGTTCATTAGCGCCAAAATCAATATATACCTACATGTTAGTTTTAACTAGTACGTTTATAGCGCCCCCTACACTTCAATGACTTGATCTCTCTTTTAGTAGCAGTGCTTGTCGATTGGATCACTGTAATGGGACAGAAATATATTCTGCACAAAATTTATTACACCCAACCCTAATTTCGTGAATGTTCCCTAAACTAAAGGACATTTCTTAACTCAAGTATTTCCATAAGAATGCATTACTGGCATTTGAGAAAACTCTGAACCCAAATTTTCTTAGGTCAATTGCTTTTCTAAGTAAAGGAGTTTTCTAAGTTAAGGAATCTTAGTGAAACTGGGTAAAGAGACATTTAGGTAAATGTATATACACCGAGTATTACTTGTTCACTCGAAATCTGAAATGTCTATTCTTTTGGCTCAGTACATGAAAACAGATTGAATATAATAGTTAGATTGGTATTGAAAATCTCATAAACATGTTGTGATCTCATAATTTGATACAATCTTTATTTTCTCATTAAAGCCTGCACTTGATTCGGAATTGAAAAATAAATTTAAGAACTACTGTTAATTCACTGACTTGCCAAAAAAAATGTCTACAAAGATATGGGGCATCAATACAATCTATCAGCTTGCAAGTATTATGATATCTATTTTTTTTTTTTTTTAATTTGTCATCAGATCTCAATTTTACCCAGTTTTGCTTACAATTTCAAACTGAATATAGCTACTTGATGCATAATATAATTATGAAAGTAAAACAACACTACCATAAATTTTGTTTTTGCTAATCAGAATAGTAAAACGAACGTGGCCTTTTTTCCAGCTTTCTGCCCGAGTTCTTACCTAGCCTACATTTACTGATAAGACATCTCATTTTCAACCAAATCACCAGAAGATTTATTCCCAAGGGGAGACAACTGTGCGATGGCTTTTTAACACATATTAATGACCTTGATTCTCAGAGGGAGTCTAATATCATCTGACTTCAACTGTATCCAATCCCACAGTTATCTTAGCATCCTCAACATTTGGCATCCTTCGAAAATTGAAAGTGTGAAAACCTATGAGAGGCATTGACTACTTAATCAAACTTATCTACCTCCCTTTTCTGTTTGTATGACTGATTCATTATTTAGTAATTGAAAGCAAGACTTTCATAGTTCATAATCTCATCTTGATATTTTCTGAAATTTCATACTTAAAAAAAAACTGTTCACAATTTGTCTGTGAAATTAAAGGTAAACCAGTACAATACGATAATGTTGAGTTAGATCAAGGAAACACTGTCTAAGGCATCGCCTTGCTCTGTCTTAGTTAACAGGAACAGACTTAAGTCATTCACCCCTGACATTTGAACTGTTCCAATTCAAAAGTTGGAATAGTTAATTATGAAATTTCAGGGGTGAATGATTAAACAATATCAACACAACCTTGATGGATGTTTTTGAAACAAAAGATCCAATACGATCCTAGAAAATTCTTAGAGAGATATTTTGAATATATATTTTTTTCTAAAACACAAAGTTATAAAGATAAAGATAATGCTAGGCGTTTAATTTACGAGTGGACTGCAGGATCAAAACAATCATTGCTTGGCGTTTAATTTACAAGTGGACTGCAGGATCAAAACAATCATTGCAAAGCGGAAAATTTAATGGTCACAGTGGTAGAATTTCCAAAAAACAGGAACTTGTGTCTTAGCACATACAACAACTTCAAAAATTTGGTGAAAAAGAGTATATAATTACCCAATTGGACTGAAGGAATTAAGTGACCTTGAATGACCTTGACCTTTGACAGAATAGTCTGAAAATGTTCAGGGTTTTTTATATATAATATACTGTGATCTTGTAAACTATAGGAAGATGAGGTTAGAAACAGAGAAGTACTGGGGTGGAAATCATTAGCCAATCAAATTGAAGGAATCAACCTTCAATGACCTTGACCATGACCTTTGATAGAATAACCCAGATAAAAGGAAGTTGTGAAGCTCAACACAACCAGTTATCTCAAATAGTAGAGCGTTCGTCTAGAGTTCAGGCTTACACAACCTCCTGGAGTTGAACATTTAAAGTTTAAGGTATGAGATAAAAATACTAAATTTAAGGAAGAGAATGAATTTGCTAAAGGATGCAGATATAGACAGACTGACAAAATGGTGTCCTCTCTGTTATAAACTTACATTTAATTTTGCATTGTTTAAAAGTGAACTTCTTCTATCAATGTACAAATAAATATTTATAGCCCAATTTTCTTTAAGTTTAAATTGTCAACTTTGCTAAATATTTAAATTTGCCATTTAATACAGCCATACTAATTTTACAAATATTTCCTTTACCAGAAACTTTTTTTCATGAAACTAACAATGCTTCATCATGTGTTAAACCCTGATTGGATGGATGTTAGCTAAGGTACTTAGGGAATTCTAATTTAGGTTAGGAACCTGTGTCAATATTGAAACCAGACATCTTTAAATAGATCTTCTTTCAGTTTAGTGTTACAATCTCAGCTTCAGGTCATTTTGTCCTATTGATCTAATAGACCCGTTAAATCTCAATTATTATTAAGGATACTTGTACACCATCTAAGTTGTCTCTATCTTTAAGGTGTCTCACACCAATAAAACAGCCTGTGGTAGTATGTCACATCTGTCTATTAATCAGATTGAGAAAGTCTCAGTGGCAGATCCAGAGGTTTTTTTGGGCTTCAGGAACCCACCCCAGCCTGAAAAGTTTCTTTAAAAATCATGTATTTTCTCCATTTTCCTCAATTTTCCCCCCCATGAAATTTTGAAACCCCCCCCCCCCCCCGATAAGTCGCTAGATCTGCCACTGTAAACAATTAATTAATATTCTAATTTACTAAAGCAAAAAAAGTCAGCATTTCCACATCGTAAAACTTTTACAGTACGTAAGAGGGTAAAGGAAATCTAGTTTAGTACACCAGACAATGGGAAAGGGAGTAACCAAAGTATTTTCTCGGTTACTTAGATTCAGGCTCCTGGTCAGGTACATATGTAACACATGGTACACATGGTGAACTCAGCATTAAAACTGAATTTCTGTATGTACTTACATTGTCGTTTGTATGCTGCGTCGTACACATATTTGACGTGCGGGTTGACGTCTGGGTTAATATCTTTCCAATGTATTGTCTTGTGAAAACACAGCAAAGCGTTATTGAAAAAATATACCTGGCCATTGCTGATTTCTGTATGATAAAAAGAAAACATCCATAATTTACAAATATTATAAATCTTTATCGATTGGTTGTAATTTTGATAATCATGATTGTGATTGGTTGTACTTACAATTCCTCACCACAAAATGTATTGTTTTGAAGATTTGCAATGCTTGAATTGTTACTTCTCCAATTCAAACATTTATTCATGATCAAATGTGATAAAACAGTATTTGAGGAGTAAGAATATAAGATTTGAGTATAAAGCTATATAAACATGTAGGGATATGTATTTATTTATTGTTTTTGCTTTCTTACTTTTAAGTGTTCCTATCCCACTGCAGGAGAAACACTAGAGAACTCCAGTGTAGTTTTCCTACACAGAGTAACCTCCCTTTAAATTCTTTTTTCGATAATATGACTGTAGCATGACTGGGTCAGTGTTGTTTCAATCAGTATTTGAACAATAAACCTTAGATTGTTGTACAGTTGCTATAGCTGAATTATCTACCTGGTCGACGGAAGTACCAGCGTCAAATCGTGATACAGTTACCTGGTATATCCAAAACAAAATTAAGGGGAGGTCACTGTATATAAAAGGGAAATATTTAGTGTTTGGCTTGCAGTGGGATAGGGGTCCTTCGATCAGCAGAAGTTTTAAATATTGACCAAGAATGGAATTCAGTTACTCACCTTGGAGAGATCGTAATCCCAGCTCCTTCATACCAACTGTCGTTGTATTAGAAACAATACCATTTAACACAACAAATAGGCTATAACTTCCATTATTGTAGGTAAAAAGTTCACTTCCTCGAATTATTCGAAGTCGCTTGAGTGGTAATGTCGGTGTAAACACAGCATAAACAAGTACATATCCACGCACTTCTACAATGGTTTCCAGAAAACTTAAGTCACGATCGGATCCGATCTCCTGGATTTCCAGATTACCATCAATATATGTACAGTTTGTGTAATGTTTTTTGAGATTATGGTAACGAAAAGATTCTGACCCGGCTGTGGACATTCCTTCATTTGTACCAGAACACACTGAAAAAAAAGAAACATTGGTTACTCATGAAAATGAAAACATAAACCACAAGAGGCAAAGAGGGCCTGTATTTGTGATGGTTATTGGTGAGATGGTTATTGGTGAGAGTTATTGGTGATATGGTTATTGGTAAGAGTTATTGGTGAGAGTTATTGGTGAGATGGTTATTGGTGAGAGTTATTGGTGATATGGTTATTGGTGAGATGGTTAATGGTGAGATGGTTATTCCTTTTGTCTATTTCTGAAACAGTATTCATCTTGTCTATTTGTGAGAATGTTCAATTTGTCTAATTTTGAAATGGAATAATACTTTTATCTATTTGTAAGATGGTAATAGTTTAATCATATTTATATAGATATGATAACGTCATTTTTCGGAACCTTAGTTTCAACCAAATAAAACAATAATGAATATGACAGTCCAAGCTTTTTCCACGAATTCTACACTGCGCGAATATTGTTTTCCTTATGAAAACAGGAAAATAATCCTGGCACTGGCACGAAGCTGTAACTGTATAAAAAGTTGGTCAGGCTCAAAAGAGGATAAAAGGGTACTTATCACTAATCAATATCCAAACAGTTCAAACCTCAAAATATTCCCAATTACAGGGGGATAAGGGTGGGGCTGTACAATTACAGGGGGATAAGGATGGGGCTGTACAATTACAGGGGGATAAGGGTGGGGCTGTACAATTACAGGGGGATAAGGATGGGGCTGTACAATTACAGGGGGATAAGGGTGGGGCTGTACAATTACAGGGGGATAAGGATGGGGCTGTACAATTACAGGGGGATAAGGGTGGGGCTGTACAATTACAGGGGGATAAGGATGGGGCTGTACAATTACAGGGGGATAAGGGTGGGGCTGTACAATTACAGGGGGATAAGGATGGGGCTGTACAATTACAGGGGGATAAGGGTGGGGCTGTACAATTACAGGGGGATAAG